GAGAGAGAGAATCAGCAAATCAGAGATTGTGGCAACTTCGTGGCGCCCTTCACCGATGACGTGCTCTGGTTGCGGCTGCACTCAAAAAAGACAACAAAATTGCATCATCAGTAGCACTTGGTGTGAGTTTATTAGCGGCGTTAAAGATTGAGAGAGAGAGAAAGATTAGGTTTGCGCGCATGTATTTATCAGAATTATAAAAGAGAGAGGGGGAATCAATGTGAAGGTGGTGGTGGTGCTAGAAGAAAAATATCATCAGCATAAACTCTCCTAAAAAGGTAGGTGTGTAATAACATATAAAGATGATGAATATCCGACCCGGCATAATAAAAAGAGTGCACACACACGCTGAGCGCCACGCACATTAATATTGGAATTGAGAAAGAGAAAAGATAAGTGTTCTAAAAAAACACATCTAAATGGTGTAGCCTAAAAGAGAGGAGAATAATTGCGTGCAGGGGTGTGTGTGAAATGTGGTGGTCAAAGAGGGGAAAGAGAGAGGGTGTACAGTGTGGTGGTGTGTGTGTGTGAAGAAAGGGTACAGCAATCATATAAAATACACATTGAAAGAGAGAGGGAGGCCAAGGTGAAGAAAAATAGGTGAGAAGGCCAGTGGGTGTGTAGAGGTGGTAGAGGTGTGGGCCAGCGAAGAGAGGGAGCGAGAATGAAGAGATTGTACGGCCTAGTGGTAGTTGCAGTTGCCATTGCCGTTGACGTTGACGAGGGTGGCGCCGTTCAGGGCACCACCGCCGCCGATGCCGCCAATGGGCAGGTCGGCGTGGACGACGCCATTGCCGCCATTGGCGGCCAGCACGTGCTTGACCGACTTCAGGTTGAGCTCCTTCGGCGCCTCCCAGGGGAACTGGTCGCGGCCAAAGTGGCCGTAGCAGGAGGTCTTCTCGTAGATGGGGCGGTTCAGCGTCAGATCACTGTGCAAGAGAGAAAGGCATTTAGAACACAAAAACGTAAACAAACCCATCCCTCCCAGTACTCACCGAATAATGAGACCCGGGCGGAGGTCAAAGTTATCGCGCACCACCTGCACCAGCTGCTTCTGCGAGAGACGGGACGTGCCAAAGCTGAAGACGGTAATGGAGAGCGGCTGGGCGATGCCGATCGCATAGGAGAGCTGCACCAGACAGCGGTGGCAGAGGCCGGCGTTCACCAGCGACTTCGCCACCCAGCGGGCCGCGTAGGCGGCGCTGCGGTCCACCTTGGTGGGGTCCTTGCCGCTGAAGGCGCCGCCGCCGTGGCCGCCCCAGCCGCCATAAGTGTCGACGATGATCTTGCGGCCGGTGAGGCCGGCGTCGGCCGCCGGGCCGCCGACGATGAAGTTGCCGCAGGGGTTGATGTGGTAGATGGTGCGCTCGTCGCGGTAGTCCTCGGGGATCACCACCTTGATCACCTTCTCGAGGATGGCCGCGCGCAGGGCCTCCAGGCTGATGCTCTCCGAGTGCTGCACCGAGACGACCACGGTGTGGACGCGGACGGGCAGCGCCGAGCCGGCGGTGAAGCGGTACTCGCAGGTGACCTGCGTCTTCGTGTCGGCGCGCGCCCAGGGAAACTCGCCGTTGCGACGGAGCTCGGCGATCTTCGCGTTGAGCTTGTGGGAGAGCACCACGGTGAGGGGCATGAACTCCTCGGTCTCGTCGGTGGCGTAGCCGAACATCAGGCCCTGGTCGCCGGCGCCCACCTCCTCGTCGGCGCGGTTCTCGTGCACGCCCGAGGCGATCTCCGGGCTCTGCTTCTCCAGGGCGAGCTTGATCTCGCAGTTGCGGTAGTCGAAGCCTGAGAGGTGGGAGTTTGTGTTAGGAATGAAATAGAAAGAGAGCCATCTCATCACTTACCCTTCTCCGGGGAGTCGTAGCCGATGCGCTTGATGGTGTCGCGCACCACCGTCTCAATGTCCACGTGGGCGCTGGAGGTGATTTCGCCAAAGACGAAGATCAGATTCGACTTGGTGGCCACCTCGGCGGCCACCTTCGCCTTCGAGTCCACCTTCAGGTAGGCGTCGAGGATGGCGTCGCTGATCTGGTCGCACATTTTGTCTGTGTGGGGGAAAGAAACGAGGTGATGAAGATGATTAGTACTTTGGGAATGTAAACAGTTGGAATGTGATGATGATCACTACTACTACTCACCAGGGTGGCCCTCGCCGACGGACTCTGAGGTGAAGAGAAAGAGCTCATCATCGGCGGGATTCTCGCCATTGCTCACGCTGGCGCTGTCGCCGTTNTAGGTGATGATGATTAGTACGTTTGGAATGTAAACAATTGGAAAAACTGATTACTAACCAGGGTGGCCCTCGCCGACGGACTCTGAGGTGAAGAGAAAGAGCTCATCATCGGCGGGATTCTCGCCATTGCTCACGCTGGCGCTGTCGCCGTTCGTGTAGATGCTGTCCTCGGAGATGCTTGACATCGTGGTTTTTGGTGAGTGGGTGAGAAGAAATCTGGTCACAAGAAAGGAAAAGGTTAATGAGAGAGAAGATTCAAACAAAAGCGCGTGTGTGCTGACGCTTCGGCGGCCGAGCGGAAAGTGAAAGTGTGTGAGCAATGCACAGAGAGAGGAAAACAACTTGAGCAGAAGAGGCAGCAGCAGCAGCAGCAGCGGCGCGGCCGAGCGTACTTGGTCACAGCCTGAGATGTTTGTTGTGATGATGAGTTTTTTGAACTGCCAATCTACCAAGATGGTGATGACGCGTACTAGTTCTTCTAAGCTTGATAAGAATGAACTAAACAAAAAAGAAGTAATCTGGTGACAGGATGATAAGCCTCGTCAGCAGATATAAAGCGCCGAAATGAAACTGCGGTCTTCAACACTGGAGAGTGTCCACTACAGAGGCGCGCAAACACAGCAGAGGGAAGACGCAATGCGGTCGAACACGTGCTTTGGTGGGGTGAGTTGCAGCAGCTCCGGTGTGCAAGGCGAGATGCCACCGCCATCGCTGCTGCTGCTGCAACGCCGCATTGCTACAAGAGAGACACTTACATTGGTGGTGGTGGGAGAAGATAATGGCACTTCCAGTGCTTGTGGGTATTTACAAATGCAGAGATAGCTGCTGCTGCTGCAACGCCGCATTGCTACAAGAGAGACACTTACATTGGTGGTGGTGGGAGAAGATAATGGCACTTCCAGTGCTTGTGGGTATTTACAAATGCAGAGATAGCTGCTGCTGCTGCAACGCCGCATTGCTACAAGAGAGACACTTACATTGGTGGTGGTGGGAGAAGATAATGGCACTTCCAGTGCTTGTGGGTATTTACAAATGCAGAGATAGCTGCTGCTGCAGGCGGAATGAGAGGAGATGGAGGCAGGAGATTAGCCGCTGCTGGCGCCGAAGAACTCTGATCGGAGGCGATCACTCAGGCAGGAGAGTGCTGCTGCTGCTGCTGTCTTCGAGAATGTACGATTGATGAAGTGAGGTGAGGTGATCCTCGGACGATGACCACGCAGCAGAGGGGAACCTAGTGAGTGGAACCTCGGCTCGAGGACTGATTGATGGACAGCAGCTCAAGAAGATGATGAAGAAGACAGAAAAGTCGGCTCGACGGTCGTTTCGCTTCTACTTCCCTTGTGAAGCAGGCCTCTCCTCGTGTTTCTGTCTGCTCCTCGATGGTCGCGACAATAGCAGCGCTCCTCTGCCGCCACTTCTGCAGGCAATGTGGGAAGGATCAGCCGCCGCCGCTGCTGCTGTTTGGGATGCGCTTGCGCTGACGGCTGCGGATTCTGGTGAGAGAAAAAGTGAAAGAGAGAGAGAGAGAGAGAGAGAGAGAGAGAGAGAGAGAGAGAGAGTACAACCGCCGCCGCCGCCGCCGCTATATAGTCAGACGGAGACATTTTTTGCCGCCGACGTCGACGCCACATGGACCTCTGAACGAGGCGGAGGAAGAAGCTAACCACGTCGGCGAAAAGCTGGTAATGCTGGCGATGGCCTATTTTTTTCCCACTGTGAAACAACAACACACTTCGGAGACATTTCGAAATCAAAGATTCCATTTAAAGGGGTAGCCTGAAAAAGGGGTCCGCCGGAAAAGGCGTTCTCTCATAGAGAATCTTAAGAGGGAGTCAGTTCTTAGAACCAGTTTTCTGAGGCGCCCCGCAAGCAACTGGTATCTCACCACCACCACTCAAGCATATTCGTGCATATTCTGCAGCATGTGTGGGTATCCTCACTGAGGCACACACGTTTTCCTCCTTTGCTTTGCTTTCAGCATAGTCGGCGACTTTGCAGAAGCTGCAGCAGCAGCAACTTCTGCAGCTTTGAAAACGACGCCGCGCCGGCAGAAGCGGCGGCAGCGGCGGCAGTAGCACATGCGCCTCGTGGCTGACTTTGCATTTCTCGCTCTCGCTCTCTCACTTTGGCAGGCGCTCGTTAGAGGTTATCCTTTCGCTCGCCTGCTGGCGCCACTTTTGCCTCGTGTGCTTTTCTCTCTCTCTCTCTCTTAGGATCAGGCGCTCTCTCGCTCTCTCTCTCTCTCTCTCTCTCTCTCTCTCTCTCTCTCGCTGTGAGTGTGTGATCATCAGCTTCTGTTTCTTCTTCTGCTTCTTCGGCAATATCGTCGTCAGCTCTCTCTCTCTCTCCTCTCATCACTTTCCTTCTAGCTTTGTTGGTTCCTGCTGTTTCACCCTCTTTCGTACCCTGTTACACTTCCTGCTGTGTTACCTACCCGACTCAACCACTTCCCACTCTTTACCGGCGGGTGCAACTCCCGCTCCAGCACCGCCGTCACCCTCGCCGCCGCCGCCACCATGGCCTCCAGCTCTGGCTCCGGCTCCTCTGCTTCCTGGGGCATGGAGTTCTTCGATTTCACCGGCACCAATGACGAGGAGAAGGCTCAGGCGTGGGACGTCATCCGCGGCTGTCACCAGTCGGGCGGCGTCGAGGTGAGGAGCTCAGCTCTGCCCAGCTCTTGCTGTGGTCATTTCGAAATGAGGCTAACCTTTCTTTCTCTTTTCTCCCTTACAGTTCTTCTTCGAGTACCCCACTAGTAGTAATACTATAAGCAATAACAACAACAACAACCACAGTNTGCCCAGCTCTTGCTGTGGTCATTTCGAAATGAGGCTAACCTTTCTTTCTCTTTTCTTCTCTTGCAGTTCTTCTTCGAGTACCCCACTAGTAGTAATACTATAAGCAATAACAACAACAACAACCACAGTCACAACAAGTCACCGATATATATCAATAATGTAAATGGAATTCTATCACCTCCAAATGTCCTCAGCGAGGGACAACAACAGCAGCCGCCCCCGCTGCTTTCACAACAACAACAGCGACCGGCGGCGACAGTTGATCAAACGGGGGCCTATGTCGCCGCCCCCAGCCTACTCTACTCAAATCAAAATCACCTCACCTTCCAGGCCCAGTCCAACTGGGACCCAACAAACAGTGGTGGTGGAAACGCCGCCGCGCTGATGCAACAGCAGCCGAACCTGGCCGCCTCTCCGCCTATGGGCTTTCTGGTGGGGCCACCACCGCCTCAGCCGCAGCAGCCACCACAGGCGACCGGGGCTGCAGCAATGTCCAGCAATGGCGGTCCTCCTGGCGCGGGCAATGCCCAACAGCCTCCGCCGCCGCCGCCCACTCACATGGCCCCACATCCTTATCACTACGCCCCTCACCCGCATGGCCATCCACCACCACCGCCCGCCTTTCCACACCCTGCCTTATTCGCCGGCCACCCGGCGCACCACGGTCACCACCCTCACCCTCATCCTCATCACCCTCATCATGCGCATCACCCGGCAGCCGCCTACCCTCCTCCGCCCCCGCCTCATCAGACACACCAGCTGTACTTCATCAGTCCGCACGACGGCGCCTCCTACCCTTACTATCCGCAGCAGATGCCGCCGCCACCCTATCCAAAGCTGAGCTCGATGATGGAGATGGAGGTGCCCAAGCCGCCCCCGCAGCAGCAGCAGCAGCACTACGCTCCTCCAGCGATGCAACAGCAACAGCAGCAGCCTCAGTCGATTCCTCCCCCTCACAGCCAAGTGATTCAAACTTCCACCACTACACTCACACCCATCATCAACAACAACTCACAGCAGCAGCAGCAACTGCAGATTACTCAACAGATGACACATTCACAGAATATTTTGCCTCTCGAGTCCATCCCATCCTCAAGCATCAGCAACACAAACCACGATCTGACACTGCAGCAGGACTCGCCGTCGACTGCACCACCACCACCACCATCATCCTCATCATCTTCAGCAATCACATCGAAAGCACTACCCTCATCATTATTATCACCATCCTCATCATCCCCACAGACTGAAGCCGTCCTGAGCGGGAGCAAGGTGGTGACTGTGTCACCCGCTGTCGCTGCTGCTGCTGCACCAGTGCAAACCATTGAGTCATCGAGCCTGCCAGCACCACCATCATCATCATCGTCATCGTCACAACCACAACCACCACATCTCACATTGCAATCACCACCACCCCCATCATCACAACAGCCACCAAAGTCAATTACTTCTTCTTCTACTACTACTACTGAACAAGCATCCACAACTGTCATTGAATCCGAGCAAGGCATCAACACTTCAGTCGTCAAGAGCTCCGAAGGGGGCGAGGCGAGCACTTCAGGCCTTACTGCAACTGCTGCTGTTGCTCCTGCCGCAGCAACAGCCGCCGCCCCCGCCCCTAAGCCTTCAGCTCCCGTTGCGACAACGTGGAGCGCCAAGCTGTTTGGCTCTCAGAGCAACTCCCAAAGCAAAGTGGCGGCGGCAGCTGCGGCTGTTCCAGCATCATCCGCTGCTACATCACACGCTCCAGTGTCTTCCACTTCTTCGACTGCACCTGCGCCGCCGCCGGCAAAGGCCGTCCTCGTTAATGGTGATATCGTCGGCGAGAGCGGCACCGCCTCATCAGTTTCAGCCTCCGCCTCCGCCCCCTCCTCGGCCTCTCGACCGACAATCAACGGCGGCGACTTTCCCGAGCTGAGCGCCGGCGGGCCCGAGGTCGTCCACAGCCATCAGCAGCACCCAAACACACAGCATCAGCTGCACCAGCAGCAGCAGAATCAGCAGCACTCACAGCATCATCAGCAGAATCAGCAGCAGCACTTTCACCCGCACCCGCAGCGCCAGCACCAGCCTCACCACGGTAAGGGCCGCCGCGGTGGCCTGCACAGCCAACTGCAGCTGCAGCTGCAGGACGAGCTGAAGCTCACCATCGTGCCCATGAGCGAGGACCCGGTGGCGGTGAAGCTGGCGAAGAAGCTGCACGAGCCGAAGCTGAAGCACTCGCTGCCCATCATCATGCCCTGCGGGCTGATCAACCGCGGCAACTGGTGCTACGTCAATGCGGTGTGTATTACTTGTCGCTAGTTTTTTTTGTGCTTACTAACCCTCCACTTTTTCCCTAATCTCAGACCCTGCAAGCTCTGCTCGCTTGTCCGCCCTTTTACAATTTAATGCGCGAGATTAGCGAGACGCCCAATGTCTTTCGCGAGGCGACCTCTACGCCCATTATTGATAATTTGTGAGTATTTGATATTTGCTTGTTTATGCCTTTTCCAAGCTAACTTTATTCCTTAATGCCAGTGCTCGATACTTTGGCCGCTTCCAGCCGGCGGACCGGCGGCAGATCAAGTCGGGCGCCGGCGCCGCCGGGGGCACCGCTCAGGCCTACCTCGAGGAGCTGCTCAACAATGATCCCTTTGAGCCGGCGTGCATCTACGACACGCTGAAGCACATCGGCATGATCAAGAGTGACCAGGAGCGGGGTCACCAGGAGGACGCCGAGGAGTTTCTCTCCTCGCTGCTCAACGGCCTCCACGAGGAGATGATCAAGCTGTCGGAGCTGTGGGCGGCCAGGCAGGGCGGCAATGCTGCCGGCGGGGCTGGGGCTGCTGTCAAGACGAATGGATTTGCCAACGCCGCCACTAGTGATGCTGCTGCCGCAGCTGCTGCTCTGTCCGATGATGATCACCACAAGGCGGAAGGTGATGTTGATGGTGGTGACGCCGACAATGATGGCGACAATGACGACGACGTCTGGCACGAGGTGGGCACCTCGAAGCACAAGGCGCTGCCCACTCGATCGGTAAGCATTGGTTTGGAATCTCGCAATCTTTCATTAAATGATCCTCTAACTTTTTTTCCAGGCCACCGTCGTCGCCACGGCAATAACGCAAATCTTTGGCGGCTCGGCGCTGGAGGTGCGCACGGTGAACAGCGGCAGCGGCAACAAGCCCTCCACCGGCAACCGCCAGCCCTTCTTTGACCTGCAGTTGGACATTAAGGTAAGTGTTTAGGAAAGTTTTATGGTTTGAAGGCTAACACAGTTCCTCCCTTTGCAGCCCACCGGCATCAACAACCTCGAAGATGCGCTGCGCTGGCAGACGCGCCGCGAGGCCATCCACGGCTACGTCGACCCGAAGACGCGCAAGGTGGTGGAGGCCAGCAATCAGATGTTCCTCGAGACCGTGCCGCCCATTCTGGTGCTGCACCTGAAGCTCTTTGACTACGACGTCGAGTCGGGCGCCAACCGCAAAGTATTAAAGCGCATTACCTACCACGAAAACTTTGAGATTCCGCGCGACTGCTTTCTCCACCACGGTCGCGGCCACCACGGCCGAGGAGGAGGAGGCCTGGAAAATGGAGGTGGAGGTGGTGGTCGTGGTGGTGGAGGTGGTGGCGGTCAGCAGGCAAAGAAGTACAAGCTGCTGGCGGGTAAGTGTTTTGCAGAATGTTTTTTGTTTTTAACTCTTTTTCTAACCTCTTCTTTTCAAATCCTTTTCCCCTCCAGTGGTGTACCACAGCGGCGCGGAGGCGATGAAGGGCCACTACATCACCGACGTGTACCACCTCGGCCTGAACCAGTGGCTGCGCTGTGATGATGCCTCCATCAAGGTGATCTCAATCTCGCAAGTACTCGCAACGAACAACCACGGCACCGGCGGCAGCATGGTCCCCTACCTCCTCTTCTACCGACGCCAGGACGGCGGTGGAGGGGGACATTCTGGTCCCGGGGCCGCAGCCTCCAACAGCAATGCTAACACCTCAAACTCAAACACTTCTTCTTCTTCTTCTTCGAACACTAACAACAACACCTCCTCTTCAAACTCGTCTTCTTCCCATCAGCAATCTGCCGCTGCTGCCTCCCGTCATCTGCTCTCAAGTGATATCTAAACTATTTTTCTTTTCCCCTCCTTCTCCTTTTCCCTCTCTCTTTCACCACACCTCTCTCGCACTCTTCGTTTCGCCCTCCTTTCTCTCTCTCTCTCTCTCTCTCTCTCTCGCTCTCTTGCCCCATTGAAGTTTTTTTCTATGAATTTTTATTCTATTGTCAGTGATAAAGAAGTTTATTATTGTACCTCGCTCTCTTTCTTTCTCGCTCTACCTACCACCTCTTCCTCTCTCTCTCTGCTACCCCTCCTCTCATTACTCTATTACTACTACTACTATAAAGGAATTGGAAGATTGCTTGTTGATCCTTCTTCCACTCTTCATTGATTGATTGATTGAATGTCATCACCAAAAAAACTGCTGCTTTTTCTGTTTCGTTTACAATTTTCGTTTTCTGTTGTGATGAGAGCGGGAGATTACCGCTATTTGAAGGAGAGGATAATGATGATGATGACTCTTCTGGTGGGCAAAGTTCAGATAAATTAGTGAATGGAAAAGGTTGATCGGCTGGTTCTCTCTTCTTTTCCTTTGTGTTTGTTTGTTGTTTTGTTTGTTTGTTTATCGTTTGTCGTCAAATCAACAGGTCTCCTTTTGCTGCCTTTGTTGGCGGCGGCAGTCAGACCTGTTAGTCACACTTCACCTTTTTCTTTGCCTTTTCTTTCCTTTGAGCTTGCACTTTTGCACTCTCTCTCTCTCTCTCTTTCTCCTTTTCATCGTGGGCGCCCTCTCCTCATCATCAGAGTGCAATGGCACACTGACGCTCACACAGTACGACACCAAAGGCAAAGCTCCCCAGCTAATGGTCACCATTGTCTGCAGCCTGGTCGTTAGCATTGTGTTGTTTGCCTCCTACAGATTCAGTAATGACCGGTGTTGCTGTTGCTGCTGCTGCTGCCGCTGTTTCCAGTATCGATGCAAAAGAAAGAAAGTAGGATGCTCAAGTGCTAGTTCACTTTCTTTCTTCATTTGCTATTTTGGCAGTTTCGGTCTTCAGTCTTTTGTTTGTTTGCTAATAGACGGTTGGTAAACAGAGTAGGCTAAATATAGTGAGAATGAAGAGATGAAGTCTGGAGTAGTAAAAAAGTGAGTTTGTGGAGTACTTCTGCCGGAAAGGAGTAAGGTGATGGGGACTTTTGTTTGGTTTTTTATTCTAGGAAGGTATCGACTGTAAAAAAAGTTGATTTTGCCGTTTTTTTATATTCCAAAAAAGTTTTCCGGTGTTTTAATTTTAGCCAAGTGTTGCTATTTTTCTGCAAATGAGTAATTGAATGGAAATAATCATCACCATCTTCATCATCATCATTGGAAGGTTTGCACTCACACCGAGAGTGGATGTCACTGGTGTTTGTGCCTCTGTGTTCGATCAATCAATCACCTAGAGTTTCTACCGGGGCTTGCTTCAAATTAAATGGGAAGTAGAAGTTGGTGGTCTCGTCGGTTGATGACAGCTCTTTCACTGCTGCCTTACCTTGCTAAACGGCATGTACTTGTGATCATGGTGATCACCGCCACCGTTTATGCTATTAATAGGTAATGGAGGTTTATTGCCGCACAAAAAATGTTGAGCATTTTTTTTATTTCGATGTCCCGGTCCGGGAGTTGTTGAGGAAAGTGCACTCTTTGAATGGACCCGATTGTTCGATATCGATAGTGACAAAAGCAGCTGACTTTTTTACTCGATTGTCGGGAGAGAATACAATCTGCGGTCAACAACGAAGTTCGGTCAGCGACAAAAGTTGAAGAGGATAATTTGAAGCAAAAACCGCAGACGTACAAAAAAACTCCCAAAAACTGTCGACGGCCAATTTGACGACACTTTGAGCATCATCAATGATCGTTGTCGTCATCACCGTTCCCATCATCATTCCCATCATCATCACCATCATCTTTACCAAACGGGGCAATAGGACAGCATCTTTCCTCATTTCAATCACCTCATTGAAGTAAAACGCCGTTTTCCCCCTTTCGGTAAGTGCCTTTATTGTTGTTGTTGTTGTTTTTTCACTTTCCTCTTTTCATTCTCTCGTTGTCCTTTTTCATTTCAATCAATTTCAATTTCCTTCATAGTCAAAACGGCGCTACTGATCAGCTCGCTCGTTGTCTTCGGGCAGAGATACTGTGCACGCTGTCCGAATAGATTAACGAGATGAAGTGAGAGAGAGAGAGGTGATCATTAAACACTCTTCGAGTCTCCTCGATCATGTAATTGCCACCGCCAGTTGTTGCCATTGCTGCTGCTTCACAATTTTCCACCGTCACTGTGTGTTCTCGGTGTCCGCTGGCATTGTCCTCCTTCTCTTCTTCTTTCTGCCTCTTTCTGCCTCTAATGCTCTCTCTGCAAACAATACCTGATCTGCATTTCTTTTTCTTTTGCTGCTGTGTCTTTCACGACCACGGCCACTCAATTACTACCATTTACTGAGGGGAGCTGTGCTGTAAGACGGGACTTACCGGTCGTGCACGCACTCGCTCAGTCAGCATCGCTAACGCGACATTTAGCTGCTGCTGCTGCTGCTGCCGTTGCTGCTGTCACTTTCTTTTCAAGTCCGGTAATTGGCTAATTGACAAGAACAGGCAGCAGCAGCAGCAGCCTTTGTCAGTGGTTCAGTGATAAGGAAGTGACAGAAGAAAGACAGACAGACAGAGCAGTGCAGTGCAGACAGTCCACCCATTGTACATGCCCAATGCCTGACACACACAGTGCAAACAGTTAGCTCCAATAGCTCACCTGAGTTCTCTAGCTCACCGTCGTCGTCGTCGATATATCTAATTGCTATCGATCACTCACCTCAGTGCTCCCAGCTCCCTTTCCCTTTCTCACTCATTAATTAAACCCGTGTGTACTGTCTGACTGTGAGTGAGTGTGTTGTCAGTCAGTCAGTCTAATGTCGGCGATCGATGTGCACTCACAGTCACCCCAAAAAGGCCCCACAACCACAGTAGATACATAAACAACCCAGAAAGGACATGCCGAGCAGACAGGCCACTTCAGATCGGAAGGATGACCACCGCCACCACCGCCATCATAAGCAGAAATTAGTAAAGTCCCACAGGCACTGCCGAGCACGGCGACAGATCTCGAGGTGGCGATTAGAGAGCGAGCTGCTGCTGATGACGAGGGAAAGCTAAGGTAAATGCTAATTTAGTCCGACAGACTCGAGCGTCTAAACTGTAGCTAATACACATCGATGGAACGGCGGCAACGGCGGCGATGAGCAGGTCATGATAACCCAGAGATCGTTCAACTGCCGCCGCTGCACTTTCTCTTTCCTCCTCGTTGTTGTCCTGTTCCGCGTTGGAAAAGAGTGAGAGAGAGAGTGAGTGGTCACTCAGACGCTGTTTTACTCTTCTTCTTCTTCTTCTTCGGCACGTCCTCTTCGTCTTCGTCTTCACTTTTCGAACTGTCTCACGTATTTCACTTGTGTGAGTGTGTGTCGGGATCACCACCAAAAAGACGAGCAGCACTTCCTATTGCTGCTGCTGCCGCTAACGTGCTAGATTGGGGAGGGGAAATTACTCTCTGCAACTCTCCATCATCAACTCACTCAAATTAGCCACGTTTTGCGGACTTGTTAGAGGCGCACTTTAATCGAACTACTATTACTGCTACTACTGCTGCTATTATCATTATCAAGTTATTATTATTATTATTTAACAAGTACTGGTCGTCTGTCTTGTTCGGGTTCCTTTTTTACACAGATGCAGAAAAGGCGAAGAAGATGATGCTGTGTACTGTGTGCTGTTTTGCTGAAGATGAAGTGTTGAAGACTGGGGATCACACGGTAGGGGTCACTGAGCTAGGTAGGCGAGAAGTGGAGAAAGTGAGAGAGAGAGAGAGAGAAAGGATGGAGACCAAAGAAGTTTGCTTTTGCTGACAGTGTTGTTTGTTCTTCAGTTTTGTTGTTCACCAAAGGGAAACCAGCCCCCAGGGGTTGAAAGTTGTGCTGCTGCTGCTGTGAGATGGTCTCAAGAGGATGGTGAGAAAGAGAGTTGGACTGATGAAGAATGGAAGTTGTAACTTGTTGTGGTGTGCTGCATTTGGCAAGTGATTTTGCACTGCCCCTAGTCTTTTTTTGGAGACTAGTTCAGGCAGTACGTGGACAGAGATGATGGTGGTGGTGGTCTTGAAGCGAAGAAGTCTACGCCTTGCTGTTGTGACGTTCCTGATGGTGTCTTCCACCGCCGTTTCGATGCAGATTGGCCTGCTCCTGAGAAGGAGGAGGGGCAAAGTGCTGCTGAGGGTGCTGGGGTGGCGGAGCAAAGTGCATCGGATGTGGCGGCGGCGGAAGGAAGTGTCCGGGGTGTGGCATTGGCGGGCCATACATCATCGGTGGCCCTGCCTGGTCCTGCCGGGCGAAGTTCATCATCATTGGGTGGGGTGGTGGGCCGGGAGGACCGGGCGGGGGCATGAAGGGATGGCCGCCTGGCATTGGTGGTGGTGGCATGAACTGCGGTCCGGGGAAGTGCTGCGGAGGACCGAAGGCTGCTGGTGGTGGGCTCTGGGGTCCTGGAGGAGCTGGTCCAAAGGAAGGCTGCTGTTGCTGTTGTTGCTGAGGAGGCGTTGCCGCCTGGGGAATGTGACTGGAGCCGGCGCCTTTCGCCTCGATGTACGGCAGGCCCTGCTGCTGGGGGGCGCTGTCGTAGCCCTGTGGGTAGTAGTAGCCGCCGTCCTGCGCCGCCTGAGCCTGCGGCGGTGGGCCGTACTGGGGAACTGGTGCGGAATAGCCGCCTCCGCCGCCGCCGTACTTCTCGTCCACCATTTTGATCGTCTTCTGAATGTTGACGGGCGATTCCTGCTGATAACCACCGCCGCCGTAACCTCCTCCTCCTCCTCCACCACCGTACTGCTCCATCGGTGGGCCGTATTGCATCTGTGGTTGGCTGTATCCTCCGCCACCACCGCCTCCATAGCCACCACCCCCTCCTCCGCCATAGCCTCCACCGCTACCATAACCGTTATCTCCGTTATCACCGAAGCTGATCTGCGGCGGCGGCGGCAGGTCCAGCTCGAGGGGCTTGGCATTTGGCTGTCGGAGGAAGTTCGCCTTGATGGACACCTGGGGCACCTCCATGCGGGGCATCTTCAGCACTATCGGCGGCACGTGGATGCCAAAGTTGAGCTTGATGTGCTTGCGACCGCTGCCGCCACCGCCTCCTCCTCCACCGTAGCCTCCACCACCACCTCCTCCATAACCTCCACCACCACCGCCTCCATACTGACAGTGGACAAAGAGGGCGTGGCAGCCGAGCAGCAGCAGCAGGCTGAGAACTGATCTTGAGCGATGATGCATGATGATGAAAAGTGTGATGTATTTTAGAAGGTAAGTTTAAGAAGCACACTGGTTTGTTGTTGTTGTTGTCGGCGGCGGTATAATTTTCACACAGTGGAAAAGGTAAATGACACAGGGAAAAATCTGCTGCTGAAGAAGCCGGGCTGGACTGTTGTGTGTGTGTGTGTGCAGTGTCCTCGATGACTTCCACACTGCCAATGGTCTCGCTGGCCGTGGACGGCGGTGCCTTTGTACGCAGGAGAACTCTGTGGTGTCTCTGGTGTCGTACTGCTTTCTCTGTCTCTCTGCCTCCTTTGCCTGATGGCCTATATTTGAGAGTTGCCCCGGTGGCTTCTTCAACTCTCGGTTCACTACTTTAGTGACGTGTCTGGCGGGCTCACCTGTTGAGCATTTCTTTCCTTTTCTCTCTCTTTCTTTCTCATCCGCCGAGCAGCAGCAGTCCCTGCAACTGCTCGCGATAGCTATTTTCTGTTCCGAGACTTGTTTGGGAAAAAAACTTAAGAGAGAGACTTTTTTATTTGCCAGTTTCTCTTTCTTTCGGTATCTGCTGCTGCTGCCGGTGCTCATTAGTAGCAACTAGTCATGCAAATGGTTTTTTTCTCTCTCTCTCTCTCTCTTTCTTTCTCATTGCTTTTGTGTTCTTCTTCTTTTTCAGCCTTCTCTTGTACCACCACCGCCACTATTGCCGCTAATCCGGCCACTGCCACTGGCCATCTCTAGCACTTATTCATCTCTTCTCTTTTCAGTGTGCCATCTTCTCATCTCATCGACTATCACCACCACTGCATCCGACTCAATTGAGATCAGACGTTGCTGTTGTTGTTGTTGATCTTCTATTACCAATACTACTACTACTTCTTCGGCAGTCGATGAACTGGATACTCTCTTTCTTCGGTTTCAATTCAAATGCTAAATGACTGAATGCAGACTACGGGGGCTACTGTGCGCGCTCTTTCACTCTGAAAAGGGGAAGCAGAAGAAGAAGAAGACCGGGAACTACTTCTGCAAGACAGAAGTGAAGTACTGCCGCTTTTGTCTTTTCTTTCCCCTCGCACAGATGATGATTGGAAGTGCCTGAAGGCGACGGCTGGATAGAATCTAAATATGTGCGCCGGTTTTTTCGGGAAAGCCATCGATTGCGATGTAAGAAGAGGAAAAGCTGATTCAGCAAGAAGAAAAGGGCAGCTGCACTTGGCCAAGTGACACCAAAAAAGCAATGTGTCGCCTGACTTTTAGCGCTCAAAATCAGTGATCAGCGCTGATTGAGGAGGTGACCTCGTACAGTACAGCTACTGCTTTCACTTCTTTTTTTCAGTTTCTTTTGTTCTACTCCTTTCTCTTGAAACCTCTCGCTCTTTTTCTCTCTCCTCCGACACGCGTCGTCAAGTAGGCAAATTGGACATTACTAGTGCTGCTGCTGTTCATTCCAGTTCGATTTAGTTTAGTTCAGCTGAGCCGTCGCCAATTGTGAGGGCTGTCTGTCTGTTTTTTTCGCCCACTCGATATCAGTCCCCTTCAATCGGTCACTGCTGCTGCCGCCGCTGCTACATTTTATTTTAAATCCTTCTTCGGTTCAATTTGATTTGTGTGTGTGTCTGCCAGCTTGCGCACAGGTCTGCTTCTCATTAATTGCTGCTGCTGTCACTGCTGCTGCTACACTGTATATCTCTGTCCTCGCTCATTAACATGGACACACACTGTCACTGGTGACGATAATGCTGGCACATTAATTAAGAAAAGAGAGAGAGGATGAAAGTGCTTTTCGATGGCTATCGAAGTGCTGTCGACGATTGCCGCTGCTGCTGAAGGATGAGCTGCACAGGTATGGTCATCATTACCGGTGCTGGCAAAAAGATATAGCAGCAGCAGCATCTTTTTACTTTGTTGATCTATCATTTGATCAGCAAACTTCTGCACAGTAGTGCACTTGCTGATGCCACTGCTGCTGCTGCTGCTAATCCTCATCCATCGGAAGTGCGGAAAACACACACACACTTGGAGTGCCGGTAATGATCAGAGGCACACAGAAGTAAACTCGGGTCAAGGCACACTCACACAAGTGGATATAATATAACAGTATTACGAGATTATGGAACTCTGTGTGGACTCTTGGAGGCCGACTGATTACCGGGGGATAATCGAGTAATCGGTAATTGAGCGATTGGAGATTTTCTCCATTTATCCGCATTATGGTCTCAATGGTAAGTGCGGCAATTGCAATTGGCAAGGGCAATCAATCCTCTTTGGCCATTGTGCTGACGCTCAAGCCGACTGATTATGGCTGAGCTTCAGGTAGCAGTAGTAGTAGTAAGTGGTATTGATTACCGCTGACGATTGTCTCTGTGTGTTTGTCTGTCTGTGTTGTCAGTGGCAGCAACAGCAGTTCTCCTATCCGATGAGGTAATGGATCAAATGGCGGATTGAAAAAGTCGACAGGAGAGAGGAGATTGAATGAGCCAAAGGAAACTCTCATTGTTGCAGTGCTCTGGTCAACAGCAGCGAACTGTCTTCGTTGAAAGCTTTGTCATGGTGGTGGTCTGAAGAGAGCACATCAGCAAGCAATAAAAACATCAGTATCACGGTGGCACTAAGTGAATAATGTGTCATGCNTATTGTTGCAGTGCTCTGGTCAACTGTCTTTGCTGAAAGCTTTGTCATGGTGGTGGTCTTCGGGAGAGAGCACACATCAGCAAACAACAAAAACTTCAGTATCACGGTGGCACTAAGTGAATAATGTGTCATGCTGCTGCTGCTGTACAATGTAAAACGGTAATNCATTGTTGCAGTGCTCTGGTCAACAGCAGCGAACTGTCTTCGTTGAAAGCTTTGTCATGGTGGTGGTCTGAAGAGAGCACATCAGCAAGCAATAAAAACATCAGTATCACGGTGGCACTAAGTGAATAATGTGTCATGCTGCTGCTGTACAATGTAAAGCGGTAATCAGTGCAGTACTTTCTTTTCAATCGTATTTCGCCCGCAAGACCGTGACCGCTGAATTTGAAATCGCGAAGTGCGGAGTGATGCCGCCGGTGTAGGAAGTGATTTGATCAAGGAAAGAAATGGATGAAGATAATTAATATGGTCATTTAATGGCTAATGTAACAAGCCAAATTGGCGGGAGTTTTTTTTGGGTACCAAATGAGANCTGCGGAGTGATGCCGCCGGTGTAGGAAGTGATTTGATCAAGGAAAGAAATGGATGAAGTTAATTAATATGGCCATTTAATGGCAAATGAAACAAGCCAAATTGGCGGGAGTTTTTTTGGGTACTAAATGAGACAGAGAATTCAAAACTGAAAAGAAAGGAAGATATCATAAATACATTGGCAAGGCACCAGATGGCAGATGGCTGCTCACGCGCCATCTGTTTTGGGCACTGATTTTTTTGTTTTTTCTGTGTTGTCATTTGGCAACAGAAGCAAGAGAGAGAGCGAGATTTGTGGCGGCGGCGACGCCGAGATTTCCTACCTCCTCATCTTCCTCCCTTCTGTCTCTGGGACAACCTGAACCTATGCCATTTTGAGTACTGCCTCACCGAGAAGAAAAAAGAAGAGGTATTTTTTTGAAGACAAGTATTCAAACGTCGTCATCATTATCATCATCATCAGCAGCAGCAGCAGCATCAGTAAACTAATGAAGTGGTAGCCTAGATTGCACACACACAACCACACAAACACTTCTGGGTTGTTTGTTTTCCATTTCGTCTCAGCGGCTGGTGCATCAGCTTTTGCTTGGCTTGGCTTGCCTTCCGTGGCCACTTCCTGACAGCCACCAAAAGAAGCGGCAGCGGACTTACACTAATTACGACGAGAAGACGGGGAAAAAAGACGGGCGACAAAGAAGACGACGACGACGAAGATGAAGGACCTACATAATCGGTGCTTCAACGGGCGACTGTGGTTCGTCCGCGACGTCTGCGGCATGATCTGTGCCCTTTTTACGTGAGTGTTCTTATGATTTAAAATGATCATAATGAGATGAGCCCCCCCCACACACATTTGATATCTCCCAAATGTTTTAAATTTGTTTTCCCCTCTCAAATTACAGATACATCCTCATCATCTTTGCGCAGTACGTCATCATCACCGTGATCATCGTTCCCGAGCAGAGCGTGCCCACCAAGGTGACCAACTTTGTGATATTTGAGTTCTTCACCTTCATGGCCATCAGCTCACATCTGCGGACCATGTTCACCGATCCGGTAAGTTTGTTGCTGTTTGTTTGCCTAATTTGGTGCAGTAAATGATCATCTCGTTCTCTTCCATTTCATCTCAGGGAGCAGTGCCTCGAGGGACGGCCACAAAGGAGGCCATCGAGCAGCTGGGCCTGATTGACGGCCAGGTGCTCTACAAGTGCACCAAGTGCTGCTCCATCAAGCCCGAACGGGCGCACCACTGCTCCGTCTGTCAGCGGTGCATCAAACGTATGGACCATCACTGGTGAGTGCCCTTTTTTCATGGAGTATTTTTCCTAACATTTTTATGCATTTTTTTGCTTTTCACAGCCCATGGATCAACAACTGCGTCGGCGAAAATAATCAAAAGTTTTTCGTACTCTTTACGGTAAGTTTCTTCTTTTGATAGGTTTTTGTTATCAGGTTTTCCAACACTTCTAACACACTATTTTCTCACCACCATCTTTCTCCTAGTTCTACATTGCCATCATAGCAATACACGCCCTGATCATGGTCTTCAACTACTTTATGGGCTGCATGAACGACGAGTGGAAAAGTACGTATCCGCCGCCCACTTTTTTGCATGTACCTTCCCTCCACCTCATTTCGTCCACTGTCAACTTTGTCTTCCGCTGCTGCTTTCATGTCTTCCCACCAAAAAAAAGATTTGCCAATCGAATGAATGCTCTTTATCACCCCTCCCCCTCTTTTCTCGCCCCACCACTAAAATCAAACACACCACTTCTTTTCCTATCTGACACCTAAACTGACACCCTCCAGTGGATCCTCTTTACCTCCTGACAGCTTGCGGCGTCTCGCACACCGACCCGAAGACGGGCCTGGTGATGAGCCAGCCGGCCCCCGTCAACGTCATCCTCCTCATCTGCCTTACCTTCGAGGGCCTCCTCTTCTCCATCTTCGCCGTCATCATGGCCATTGTCCAGTTTCAGGTACTGCTGGGGGGTGATTCAGTTGTCTAGTATAAAGTTGACATCTTCTCTCTCATTTCAGGCCATCTGGAACGACGAGACGGGCATTGAGCAGCTGAAGAAGGAGACCGGAAAGCGGAGAAACCGCCGCCAGATGAAGTCGCTGAGGGCGGTCTTTGGCCTGAAGGGCTTCAGCCTCGCCTGGTTCNCGAGGGCCTCCTCTTCTCCATCTTCGCCGTCATCATGGCCATTGTCCAGTTTCAGGTACTGCTGGGGGGTGATTCAGTTGTCTAGTATAAAGTTGACATCTTCTCTCTCATTTCAGGCCATCTGGAACGACGAGACGGGCATTGAGCAGCTGAAGAAGGAGACCGGAAAGCGGAGAAACCGCCGCCAGATGAAGTCGCTGAGGGCGGTCTTTGGCCTGAAGGGCTTCAGCCTCGCCTGGTTCTCCCCCTTCACCAGGGCCGAGTCGGGGGCGTACGTCCAGTCCAACTACATTGTCTAGTTTGGCACCAGCAGCAGCAGCAGCAGCAGCTCATCCCTTTCTTTCCAGTCTTCCCGGTGTAAATTGTTGTGGTTGTCGGTGATGTGTTGTGCAATTGTGTCCTTGTTTCTTCTTGTCGTCTCATGCCGTCCCAGTCCCTGAACTTGTCGCTTCCTTCCCTGCGGTTTCACCTTTCCCATCCCATCCCCTTCTTCCTCTTTGGTTCCTGGCCACTAGCCTACTTAGTAAGCTCCCCCAAATTCCCAATTCACAAACACTGGCGCGCACTTCAGGTATTTTTACACCTCCTCCTCCTCCTCCTCTTCCTTTATACTTTTTATTTACACTTTCTGTCTAGTGATCACTCCTTTTCTTCTTTTCTCTCTCTCTCTTTCTTCTTTCACCTTCGCTTTCCTTTCCTATTGTTTTGCTCACACTTTATCGCGCCCTTTTGTTCAGCGATATTTTGTTGTTTACCGACTGATTTAAAAAATCCGCTATTACTGCTTTTACTCCTCTTTTTTTGTTTTCACTCTAGTTGTTGTTCGAACGGTTCACCACCACTGATGTAGAATAAGAAAGGGATAGCTTTGGAGAAGAGAGTATGTCAAGACCATCACGGCTGCACACTCAAAAGAGCAAGAAGAAGGAGGAGGAATCACCATCAGTCGGTGACTTTCTATATAACATTCTACGTTCGATTTGCTGTGCCGTATTGGCG